TTTTGGACGCCTTTGGAGGGTGGCGGATTCGTAGCCCCTCGTGAGGTGGAAGGAAGACGCTCTCAATAGCCTCGAGCGTCAGATAGCGCTGAGTGAGGAAGGAGTCGATTTCCTTCCAGGGTGGCACCTCTTTTTGGTCCGTTACGGACGCTTCCCACAACGCCCGGCTCAACTTCGGCAATTTGGAAGCGCAAATGGTGACAAGCAGACTATCCCAGTTGTCCGTGCAGACGTTGGAGACCGCTAGCGCATTTAGAACTCCTTGCATCGTACTTTGAAGATCCTTCAAGGCTCGAATGCATTCGGATGTTACGCGGGCAAAAAAGGAGGATGTTGATTTGGTTGGTCACTAGAAGCCGATTATTTTCGTATCGGCTGCGGAGAGCCAACCATGCGGATTCGAAACCGTCATTATCGGATCGCCCCCGGGTCTTCTCGGTGAGGTAATACAGCCTCTCTACCCGGAGACAATCTAGGATTGTTGATCACGACCGCAGTGAACAGATCCCGGAATGTGGGCCAGCGGACGTAGTCCCCGGAGAATGCCTCAATGTTGACGGGAGGCAGTCGACAGCCGCCCTGTTGGACTGGCTGCGAAGAAGGAAGGACTGTGGATGTGGCCAGTTGGGCATTGAGGTCACTGAGACACTGCTCAAATACCCCATAGCATTCGCCGTATTTGTCACGGATGTCCGCTTGGATTTCTGGCTCCTCGTCCGTCATCGCCGCGGAGCAGGCCTTATATTCGGCCTCGACGTCCGTCCACATGCTGAGGATTTGGCCTCGACGGACATCGGACAACGATGCGGATGGGGCGGCGGTGATGCGCTCTGCCAGGTGCATCAGTCGGCCAATAGCGGCGACCAATTTGGTCCGAGCGACTGAGGTGGCGGATTGAGCCATTGTGATACAGTGGCGAGAGCTGACGGGGCTGTTGACGAAGGAGCCCTTCGGATCTTGTTTGGTCACAGCTGGAACCTTAAGAGTGACAGGAGACGGGAACAGAACCGATTTGGTCCTTGCCGCAGGGCTGCTACTGGCTGCTCTCGGAGTGGAGGGGTGCCTTGATTTTCTGAGTCGGCGTAGTTACAGAGGCGGACGAGGTGCGTAGCCGGTTGAAAGAGGTCACAGGCAAAAGCTGGTTGCCGTCCTTGTGACCTGTTGGCATATTCCGAACTCACACACGCACAGAGAATCGGACTTAGAAGTCTTGGAGAGACAGGAGACTGGTCTGAGTCGAAGTGACCCGAAAAAACCGTCAGGCAACCAACTCCTTTCGAAATGATAACCCAGTTACGGACGGCTGGCAAAGAAAAAGGCCTCAAGCTAGCAGGAAAGCAGTAATCAGATCGACTCGGATTGTTTGAGATCACCAGTAGGTGGGAGGTCCCAAACAATGAGTGACCTTATATTAAGCCGAGCTGAGGAGAGGAACGGTCACACTGATGGTGGCAATATTTCGGGAAATATTGTTAGTGCGATGATCCTCCGCAATCGTGAGCAGAACCGGGTTACTGGCGGATGGAAGACGGATGGACGGCGGACGGAAGTGACACGGACACCGCACAAAAAATAATTAATGATTTTCTTATCAAAAAATAAATTTTCAGATTGTGGAAAAATAAATCATTCCATCAATCAACCAATTCAATCAAAACGATCAATTAAATCAATCAATCAATGTGATTTATTCAATGAATATGGCACTTGCGCGGAGTATGTGTGTAGTAGTGCGGTAGTAGTGGAGTGCGGTATTTTTCTACGGGGAGTGGTATTTTTTTGTATGGAATTCTGTTTTGTATATAGTTGGCAATATATGGGAATAAATGTATGAATGTATGGAAATAAATATATATGTGTTTATAGGTATGGAAATAAAACACTTGATGTGATTGTAGTTGCACTCGGAGTGTGCCAAAGAATATTTTATTGGGGTGGGTCGTGCTGGAATGCACCTGTAGAGACACGGATGTAGATGTGTGTGTATGTACGCCGCTCTTATGGGCTGGAATGTACGTACATATGTACATATGCTCGGAATGCACTTTTTTTTTGGTTTAATTTATATTTATTTAATTTGTCCGCAAATCATGGACAGACACAAGTAATCGAAAAACTACCGTATCACTGGTAGTTGGAGGTGAATGACGGGAGAACGGCCGGAATCGCCGATAATATGGCGGTGTCGAAAAAAAAAGAGACACGGATAACGGATGCACAGAATGAAGGAATAAGTACATATATAAGAATATATATATGTACTTATATCGCGGAACTCGGACTTTTCGGAACACAAATCACGAATGGAAGGGACTTGTGGCACACGAAAATTGTACTTATCTTGGGATCCTGGAGTGGTGAAGGCGATGCCGTGCTCGAAGGCTGGATATAGTTGGGGAAGGCGAGGTAACAATCCGGCTCGAAGGACCAATGTTGGAGCGTAGAGGCGTGCGAAGTTCCACAGATGTGTCCCACAGATAAATATGACAGGCAAATCCAAATTCTTCAAGTATATTTCGGGGTTTATTCGTAGGCTTAGGTTATATATATATAGGTATGTTTCGCGTGCAAAAGCCGGCCGTTTGCTTGTGTGTGAAGAAGCGCATTAATCTAGATCGGTGGTACTCAAGCTGCCGTGGGCTGTCGGTGGCGAGAGCGGGAGCGTGAGCGTGGGCGGGAGCGCAAGCGTGGTGAATATGCGCGCGAGAGCGCGTCGCCGGGGGGAAAAATGCTCTTAAGTACGAGGGCGAGAGCGAGGGCGACCGCTTGTGTAGCTGGAACGCTAACAGCGATGTGTGGCTGGAATGCCCACAAAGCGGTTGCCCCGCCAGCGCCATCATCACTCTGAACAGACTGTGTTCGTGTTTGTATCAATGGGCTAGGATTAAACCTAAATAAGTCAAAATGTATAGTCATAGGTAAAAGACAGTTCAACACTGACACTCTACAAAAATTATCGATTGAAAATATCCCTATAGAATATGTAAAACGGGCCAATAATTTGGGTTTTACATTTAATCAAACGTTTACATGGGATGACCACATAAGTAAATCAGTCGGAAAAACATATGGAATCCTTAGATCGTTATACATAACGAAAGACTTTTAACCACTGAAAATCAAACAAACAATTGCAACAATGTACCTTAAACCAGTACTTCTTTATGGTATCGAAGTCTTTAGTGACTGTAACTCCGCTAGCCAACGAAAGCTGCAAGTGGCTTTTAATAATATCGCGAGATATATTAATAATAGACATAGAACTAACCGTATTTCTGACGTAATGATTAAGATATTTTTAAAGATACTATACAACTGAAAGCGCAGTATCGTAGAGAATAACCATATCTGGCAAATTGCTGAATCTGAATCAGATCAGATCATAATTATAGCCAGAATGAAGAAATTTTATGTTGGTTCTTTCGCCCCCTCCTGACAGAGACCGCTACCTATACGATAAAACTTAAAATGCAGTATCGTAGATACATATCTACCAGACTGCCGAATCTGAATCAGATCGGATCATAATTATAGCCAAAATTAAGAAATTAATTTTCTGTTGCTTCCTCCGCCTCCCCCTGCCAGAGACACGTTACTCATTCTCTTTCTCGCTCGCACACTCTGCCGCGTTCAGTGCGCGAACAACCCCTAGCGGAGGAGATGTAGAATATGAATGTTACATCTATATTATATTAGATGTAAAATATACATTGTAGATGTAGATAAGAGATGTAGCAAAAAAATGTAATATGTAAAATTTTTTTTTAATTTTAAAATTCTAAAAAATCATAAGCTCAAAAATGTATATACTGACTGAGTACGGGTATAAGTAGAGTCGCGTCCCCAAAAGCGACTCACACGTTTCTTCTCGTTCAGCTTTGTATAAAAGCGGTTACATCATTGGATGTGAGGTCAGGGGCTAGCCGCGAGAAAAAAACTTGTCGCTTTGGTGGGACTCCCACCAGTGGTTTTGGCACCACAGGCCTAGTAACTGTGATGGCAGTATCCGGTGGTCCTGGACATCTTTTAGCTGTTTTCGGCTGCCGGCGGACATGAGGCTGTCGGCACTTGCAAGTCCCGCGGAGAGTTAGCCAGCAGCTGTAAACTTCTGAACTGAGTGTCCATGGCCAAGAGTCGATCATATTGCTGTTTAAAGCCTACGATCAGCACTTTGAAGCTTTTCCGCGTCTGCCTCATGAACAAACGCATGTCGTTTTCCACAGCACGGCATTGCTCACAACTTTAATGCAGGCCGTTATTTTGGGAAATGGCATCACCTACACGGCCCGAGATCCCTACACATTTTACGTGCACTACGCTCTCGCAAAGCCAGAAAGGGATATTGGGCTGGTCATGGGTGATCTGCTTCTTGTAGGTTTTTTTGGCGCAGACGACAGAAAATTCCATAATAATGTCTTCTATATTTTTATTTCGAGGAAAAAAAAAGTTCAAATCAAATAGCAATCAGACCAATGTGCAGAGCAGATGCTTAGAGCAATGCTTAAAGCGAAATCGGTAAAAGATGAGAGAGGAGAGTGGTTGCAGCAACAGCTTATAAGTGAGAGCGTTACTGCACAAAAAGTTACAAGAGCGAGAGCGAAAGAACAGTTATTGAGAGTTAGGTGATAGAGAGAGTGATAGACGGCAATAACTACGACAAAGAGCGGCTAAATGTAATGAGAGGGAGTACTTACGAAAAGCAACAACACAAACACACGACTAACCGACGCACAAAATTAATTAAATAAGTTGTGTTTTTACACAATTATCAGGCATGCACCCGCGGTAAAAGAATGATTTTAATGTAAGTTAGTAAGAGAGTTAAATTATAGATAAAAAACACCGGCTGTTTAAGTTAAACAAAAGGAAAATGCGGAGCGCAAAACAAAAACACGTCTGGTCACTACGACAGAGAACGAATTTTTATTTTCCATGCTCAATGGATTCACCTCTTTTTTTTTCATTAATAAATGGTACTCGTTTCCCGTGTTTGCTCGCAGCCTGTATGAGTCTCCCCTGTGATGCTTAGATCGCCCCCGGCCAAGGTAAGTTCGTTCAAACCTGGAGTTCCCCTCATTATCTGCCTTTCTTTCCAGCACGGCCTCGGCTCACCCTTCTGGACACCAGGCAACAATCCTCCCGCGATCAGTGAGTCCTCCGACCCTTCGCCCGGACTCGGATTCATGCTCGGCTATCCCGGAGAAACCGCTTGCACCTTTGATGTAGCTACGGCGGTTCGTCTCCCCCACGCAGTGGCTCAGAACCGTGGATCATCCGATTCCTCGCCCGGTAGACCACGCGTGGGCGACGCCCGCCTTGCCATACCCGACGCTCCTGGTTCCCCAGGGTCCCAATGTTTGATCCGTGGACCTGGATCCCCTTCTGCCCACCGATTCTTACAACCTCACCACGACCGTCGACTTCCAACTCCGGGTCGACGTTTGATATTCCGGCGTTCAGGTTCACGTAACTACCTTCTCCTCATTTTTGTACCTCGTTCACCATTTATTTTTCTTTCAGACGCTGTCTCTCCTCCTTTTTTTATACCCGTGCTCAAAAAAGAGTAAAGGGGTATATTAGATTTGTGGTAAAAGTGGATGTGTGTAACGCAGAGATGGAAAACGTTTCCGACCCCATAAAGTATATATATTCTTCATCAGCATCAATAGCCGATTCTATGTCTGTCTGTCTCTTGATGAACGCCTAGATGAAATAAAAACTTCAGTAATTCTCTGCACGAAAAGGAGAGCAGTCGTCTTTATTATTGAAAGCCGAAGCCCATCATATTGCTGAAACCCAGCCTATTGGACCCATGCTATTGGAACTGATAAATCATAAGCTCACAAATATATATACCGACTGAATACTGGTATAAAAGTAAAGTCGCGTCCAAAGAAGCGACTCACACGTTCCTTCTCGTTTTTTTAAATTTATTTTGTTTTGTTTATAGGTGCATATTGTTTAATGAAGAAAAGGCTCATCTGAAATTGGTTGACAAACCCTCCAAAAATTATATTTTACCATTTGGAACGTTGCTCCAGCCGTTTCTCCATAGAATTTTATGAAGAATACTTTAAACGACGCTTAATTATACAAGTCGAATTCATGCTTGCATTTCAAACAAAAGTGAGGAGTTAGAGATATTTTGGTGATTTTCTAGTCAGAGTATGGGTCCATGAGCTTGGGGGCCCCTTAAGCTCAAGGGCCCCGGTGCGCCGCACCGTCTTGCAAGTACGTAGCTACGCCACTACATGGTGCACATTGACGACTCGCTTCTCCAGGTCAGTCTCAAGGACTGAGTCCCGCGGACAAGGCCACTCCGATTGTGGGCCACGCAACCAAGCAGGGCCATGCCACCACAAATCACTTCCGACCAGGTCAGTGGGTCCTAGCCCTCGACTGGCCAGGTCGGCCGGATTATCCTCGGATCGGACGTGGCTCCATCGCTCGCTGGGCCAACATCGAGTGATTTTGGCTATTAGATTGCCCACGAAAGTGGTCCAATCGCATGCAGGTCTGTTCAGCCAGGCCAATACAATCGTGGAATCGGTCCAGAAGGGCACAAGGCTCGTGTCTAGTGGCAGTTGAGGAAGGATGGCCTCGGAAAGCTCTGTCAGAAGGACGGCTCCGCACAGTTCGAGTCGAGTCAAGGAAACCGTGTTCACGGGGGCCACGCGGGTTTTGGCTGTGAGAAGGGCACAGACAATGCCCTGCGGTCGCTCAACTCGGATGTAAATCGCTGCCCCATAGGCACGTTGAGACGCGTCGCAGAAGCCATGTATCTGCACCTTGGTCATCGGACAAACGTGCAACCACCGCGGAATGCGGATATCCTGGATGGCCGGAAAACTCTTCAGGAACGTCTCCCAGGTTTGCGATAGATCGCTAGGGAGGACGTCATCCCACCCTAACTCTCTTAACCAAATTTCCTGCATGAACATTTTTGCTTGGATGACAAAGGGGGCAAGCCATCCCAAGCCACAAAATTAATTAAATAAGTTGTGTTTTTACACAATTATCAGGCATGCACCCGCGGTAAAAGTATGATTTTAATGTAAGTTAGTTAGAGAGTTAAATTATAGATAAAAACGAGAGGAACGTGTGAGTCGCTTCTAAAGACGCGACTCTACTTATACCCGTACTCAGTCAGTATTTACATTTTTGAGCATATGATTTTCAGAATTTAGAATTAAAAAAAAAATTTTACATATTACATTTTTTTGCTACATCTGTTATCTACATCTACATCTACAATGTATATTTTACATCTAACATGTAGATTATAGATGTACTATTCATATTCTACATCTTTTCCGCTAGGGGTTGCTCGCGCACTGAACGCGGTAGAGTGTGCGAGCGAGAAGGAAAATGAGTTTCGTTGTCGTTTGTGGGAGGGGGGGCAGGGGAAGCAACTGAAAATTAATTTTCGTCATTCTGGCTATAATTATGATCCGATCTAATTCAGATTAAGCAGTCTGGTAGATATGGGCATTCTCTACGATACTGCGTTTTTAGTTTTATCGTATCTTTAAAATTGTGCCTGCCACAGATTTTCGTCCTTTGTGGGGGCGGAAGGGGGCGGGGCGAAATTCTGAAATACACTTGTAGCAGTGGGATATCACATGAGTCTGGAAACCAAATTTGGTTGCCCTAGCTCTTATAGTTTCTGAGATCTAGGCGCTCATCGAGACAGACAGACAGACAGACAGACAGACAGACAGACGGACAGACAGACATGGCTATATCGACTCGGCTATTGATGCTGATCAAGAATATATATACTTTATGGGGTCGGAAACGTTTCCTTCTCTGCGTTACACACATCCACTTTTACCACAAATCTAATATACCCCTTAACTCTTTTTTGAGTACGGGTATAAAAACACCGGCTGTTTAAGTGAAACAAAAGGAAAATGCGGAGCGCAAAACAAAAACACGTCTGGTCACTACGAAAGATGTAACGTCTCACCTGCCTACCCACGAACACAAATATATGAATTATCCCAGGCTAGTTGTTGGTCAGTGAGGGGGAGCGCACGGTTGAGGTTTCCGGCTTCTGTTCGTCGGCTATTTGGGGTGATGATCTAATACCTAACTGGCTGCGACACAAACGTAACGGTTAAACTAGAATATTAATTTTCTTTTAACTTAAACATAACAAAAAAATACACGAACTAATCACAAAAAAATAAATAAAATTATTTTTTGGCATCTGATAAGCCTCGGGTGATTCGCCGCCCGGAACCACAAGGGGGTCTCTCGAGATTCACTCGTTCCCGATAGCGAAGGGTCGTCCGACGCAGCTGTCTCACTGCACGTCCACGGCACTAACTAGCCATCCGCTAAGCGCTAGCTCTGCCTGCTAGAATTTTTGCTGATCCCCTTTTCCCTTATTCCCTAAGCTGCTGATCGCGAGCGCGACTGGTATTAAACGAACAGGCAGGCGCAAGGGAGATGCAAAAAAATGGGCTCGTCCGAGCTTTTGCGTGTGTTGACCGCCGCCTCCTAGGTGACGGAGCGGGGACTCCTCTGCTGATCTTCTCCTGGACAATTTAAAGGCACCTCTTCGCTGCGTCACCTCTGCCCAGCGATGGCTAACGGGCGCCAAGATCTGCGAGTGAGTCGGAATGCGATGAAATTAGACGTTGTCGCCTTCAAACTTTAGTTGTTTATTCTCACCAATTCAACGAAATTCTCCCCAAGAATAACCCTCCTCCTTTCTGCACCCTTTCAAACCCACTTTGCACTTTAATTGTGTTTATGCGCGTATACAAACGGGAGTTCTTCCACTCCGCACAGCCACACTGACTGGGGGACCAAAAAGAAAAGATCGAGCCAGACGCTTCCGTTCAAGCGCCAACCTCATGGACTCGGAAAGGTTAAGGGCCACTGAGTGAAAGGCCTGACATTTGTCCCTGTTACTCTCTTTCCATCCGAAAAATTCCTTGCCCTGATCATTCGTTCTGAGCCCTAGAGGGCACCACCTGTTTTCCCCTGGCCGACAGAGAGCGCCACCCGCGCACACTCTGGCTGCTGCTACAAGCGTTACAAATATAATGAACGAGAACATTATCTGTAGGAGATGATAAGCAAATTTCGAATGCTTTACTGATACACATCGTCATGTCCAAGGTAGATAAAAAAAACCCGCTCTCGCTCTCGATGGAAAGAGAATTCGGACTATCAATCCATACCATCTTGGACAGACTGTGTATCTGCGCTTAACAAATCCTACCAACATTTATCTGCTGAAGAGACGAATTCAGGGCGATCTAAACGAATAAAGACAAGTCAGGATTTACAGAGCAAGCAATCATCTTCGATGACTGTGGCTCAAGCCAAACCTACTCAAGATCAGAAATGTTCATTTTGCAAGGCAACTGATAATTTCATCACTTTGTGCTCGGCTTTCGCATCGGCTTCAGTCGCAATCCGCTTTCAATGTGCAAAGGAAGTGCCGCTATGCATTAATTGCCTACGCAAAGGACACATTGTGTTAAAGTGCAAATCGTCATATTGCAGAGTTTGTTCGAAACCTCATCATACACCGATAGAAAAAAGCCCTGAAATTTTAATATTCTCTTAGATTTTAATAATTATGTGAAAGGTTGTGCTTAAATGTATGTTTATTGAAGAGATATATAAGTAATGGATACAGCTTTGTTAAGACATGTTTTAAAGCGAATGACAACTGATTTAAAGAACGACTGATATTATCTACGACTGACGAAAAAGACGACTGACAACGGAATTGGCGAGAGGTCTCTGAGCGGCGTCGGCTGACGTTCTCGCGATCTCCTCTTTGCTCTCTCTGCTCTCAGCTCTATCGGCGAGGTCTGCGCTTGTGTGCGCGACCCAGCCTTCTTACATTTGGCCATCCTGAAATTCGTCATCCGTCCCGGATGACAACAGCTCCTCCTTTTCCTCGACAAACTTCCACAGCTTTAGATGGTCACAGCTTCGATGTCCGGGGCTGCTTTTTTCACGTCGTATCGTCCGTTACGTTTAATGTTGACGATCTCCTACGGACCAAGGTATGAACTCGCCAGCTTGCGACCTGCAACAAATTGGGTTCGCTTAACAGCGACGAGATCGCCCAATCTGTAGCCATGCTCGACACGTCGTTTCTTGCCAAAGCTTCATTTCGCAACATAAGACGGTCGTCGTTAAACTTCTCTACCAGCTCCTGATTCAGTAATTCCATTAGTCGGTCTTCTGCTTTGCTATTCATCTTGATGCCGAACATGATTTCGAATGGTGATACTTTCGTCGACATATGAATGTGGGAGTTAATCGCTTTTTGCACAGAAGGTACATACTTGAACCACTTTGACGGTTTTTCTGATGACAGCTTTGTTATGATCGAAAGGATTGAGCGGTTAACCGTATCGACTTGACCATTACCTCTAGCTACACCAGTTGTTGACCAGACATGCTCTTCTATGTTAACGCTGCGGAACTCAGCAAACGCGTTGGCCGTGAATGCAACGCCTCTGTCACTTATCAGGCGCCTCGGAAATCCGAATAAGTTGGACCACTCGCTCAGCTTCGTTACGACCTCTTCGCAGCCTGTAGTCTTCGTCGGAAACAGCCAGACAAACTTTGAAAATCCATCCACTACTACCAGAATAAACTTATACTGTTTAGACGTCGGACCCAAGTAATCGATGTGCACCGTATGGATTGGTACATCGCCCTTGTCGCAATGCAAATGGCCATCTTGCTTGCCGGTCTTTTTGCTGTAAATAATACAACTTATACAGTTAGATATGAAAAATCACTAATACTTACATACCTTTCCTGTAATTTGTAGTATTTCTTAGCTATCTTTGCATGTT